GTATTTGTATATTTATACCCACTTTTTCCTGAATGGGGACCCTCACAACATCATTCTCCCTCCCTCCATTTTATCCTCCCAACAACAACCTTGAGGTAGTCTTAAACTGAGAGAGAATGAGGGAGGCTGGTCTCAGGTTATCCGGTGAGCTTCCAAGGCTGAGTGGGGATTCAAGCCTGGGTCTCCAAGACCCTGGTCTGACACTCTAACACCACCACCATGCTGGCTTCAGTTCACCACTTGAACCAGAGCCTGCCACTGCGTCAGCCAGTGAACAAACAGAAAACTTCAGCTATTTGCTCTGCTCCCAACAGAGTTCATGGGGCTCTGCCCTTGACTCAGGCTCCAGTCATTCCCAGATACCAGAACCTTTAAAATCAAAGTTGTCCAACATAAGAATGAGGGCCTGATTTAAAGCTTCTCACACATGCCCAATCATGTTTAAAAGCACATGGTGTTGGTCCACTCAAGCATTGCCCTTCAGTAATAGGCTGGGAGGGTGGGCTACGACCATGCTAACATGACACGTTAATGAAGTCAGTGCATGGAAAAACAAAATTGAGAGTATTTGCCATAGCCCGCATCCTGTATAAATCTGGCCAAAGCCGGTGCTCCGTGAGGTGTTGGCTAGGGCACCCTTTAAAACTACATGCTCACGAGTGTGCTTCATGAGCAGATGTGTCATTAGCACACCCTGCAACCTCCTCCTCCTCCTCAGTTCCTGCCTAATGGCTGCCATTTTGTTGGCACTTCTAAGAGCATCTCTACAGTCCATTGGGCGCCTTCTGCCGCTCCTCCATGCTCACTAAGCTGAGCCTGTCTCACAGTCGCAGTATCTATGACAACAGAGCCCTCAGCTCTTCTCATCCTTCGCTTCCTCTAGGATGCCTGTCACTCCATTTCTTCTGCCTGAGGGCCTCCAGAATCTTTCGTGTAGGAGGGTTCGACTCTCCATCCCTCTGCATTTTCATGACTCTCAAGCCCCTCATGGGTAATCCTTGGAATGACAAAGCCAAGCCCGTGTGAGCCCAGGCAGCTCTGAGCCTGGTTTGATGTGACTCACTTGCAGAGGCCAGGGTATAAATGTATGAGTCAAGTCTAATCTCTAAGCCACATGAATTTATTTAGATATTAATCACCCAGTGCAGACCCAAAGCAGCTTATAATATTGTCGTCCCCCCCCCCCGCTGTTTTATCCTCACAACAATCCGCTGAGGTAGTGTTAGACTGACAGACAGTGACTAGCCCAAGGTCACTCAGCAAGCTTCTGTAGCAGAGTTGGGATTTGAACCTGGGACTCTAGCCACTATACCACTATCTACTGGATGAAGTATTGTTTATCGGAGGTCCTTACTGTCTTGATTGTTGCTGTTTTTTGACCATTTGTAATCCACCTTGAGTCTCAGCCAGAAAGCTGGGCTGCAAATGAACTGAATAAAATAAAAACGAGGAGGTCCCTTTGGACACTACTGAGGAACTACAGCCAGCCATAGACATTTGCAGACTCCCAGATCAGCCTCCATGACCCTATTTCTTTTCTCTCACCACCACTACATACCCAGACATACAGATTCATAAATAAGCCATTCTTTCTAGCAAGGTTATTGCACCTTCCAGCCTCTGCTGCAGTGCTCTCTAACCCCCCCCCCCCAATGCTCCTTTCTCATTTATAATCAAAGACTCAGCCCACACTGTGGGTCAGGTAGGCCAGCCCCTGTCCAATGACATTATCATCCACTTCCCACAGATTAACAAAGACCGTGGCATGCCTTGAAGAGACAGCAGACCCTTGAAGAAAGATGCTTGCAGATTAGGGTGAAAGGTGAGCTGCAGGGTGTGTAGAAGCTTGATAGCCACAGTTCAACCTCTAGGAATGACTTTCCTCTGCCTGAGAGCCGTTGCCAGTCAGAGGAGGAGGAGGAGGAGGAGGAGATTGGATTTATACCCCGCCCTTCACTTGGAGTCTCAGAGCGGCTTACAAACTCCTTTCCCTTCCCCTCCCCTCCCCACAACAGACACCCTGTGAGGTGGGTGGGGCTGAGAGAACTCTGACACAAACTGCTCTTTTTCAAGGACAGCTGTGCCAGAGCTCGCGACTGACCCAAGGTCACATCAGCAGGTGCAAGTGGAGGAGTGGGGAATCAAACCCGGTTCTCCCAGATTAGAGTCCACACACTTAACCACTACACCAAAGAGACAAGATTGAACTGAATAGGTACATTTAGGGCTCAGTAGCAGAGCATCTGCTTTTGCAAGCAGAAGGTCCTGGGTTCAATTCCCCAACATTTCCAGTTAAAAGGATCGAACAAAAGGTGATGTGAAATATCTCAGCTGGGGACTCTGGGGAGCTGCTGCCAGTCAGAGTAGGGAAACCTGGCCGTGATAGACCAATGCCGTGACTCAGTAGAGCAGAACAACAAACCGGGATCCCGGTGTAAAGCCTAATGACAAGCAATTTGTGGTTACTGTATTTTATAATTCACAAAAATACAAATGGTCCTTACATACCACATAGATAACAGAAAAATCTCAGAACTAATAATGTGATCCTGTATCACAAAAATTAGAAAAGTCCCATCCTTGTTATACCGTAGAACAGCTTCTGTAGTAAGTGACAAACATCTAAATGTAAGCCCGTTTCATAGTTGATCTTCCTCAGAAATTCTCTCCCTCGTATTTTTGTTGTTGTTCAATCGCACAGTCGAGTGCGACTTTTCGCGACCCCATGGACAAGATCTCGCCAGGCCTTCCTGTCTGCCGCCGTCCTCTGAAGTTTGCTCAACTTCATATTCGTTGCATCTATGACACTGTCTAACCATCTCATCCTTTGCCGTCCCCTTCTTCTTTCAGTCTTTCCCAGCATCAGGGTCTTCTCCAGTGAGTGTTCCCTTCTCATTTGGTGGCCAAAGTATTTGAGCTTCAGTTTCATTATCTGGCCTTCCAGGGAACAGTCTTTTAGGATTGACTGATTTGATCTCCTTGCAGTCTAAGGGACTGTCAAGAGTCTTCTCCAGCACCATAGTTCAAAAGAATCTATTCTTTGGCACTCGGCCTTCCTTATAGTCCAACTCTCACAGCCATACATGACTACTGGGAATACCATTGCTTTCACCATGCGGAGTTTTGTTGGCAGGGTGATGTCTCTACTTTTTATCATGCTGTTTAGGTTCACCATTGCTTTCCTTCCAAGAAGCAGGCGTCTTTTAATTTCATGGCTGCCGTCACAGTCAGCGGTGATCTGGGATCCCAGGAACGTGAAGTCTGTCACTACTTCCACAACTTCCCCTTCTATTTGCCAAGGAGTGATGGGGCCGGATGCCATGATCTTAGTTTTTTAGATGTTGAGCTTCAAGCCCACTTTTGCGCTCTCCTCTTTTACCCTGAGCAAGAGGCTCTTGAGGTCCTCTTCACTTTCTGCCATCAGAGTGGTATCGTCTGCATATCTGAGGTTGTTGATCTTTTCCCCAGCAATCTTAATTCCCGCTTGTGATACATCCAGGCCAGCATTTCGCATGATGTACTCTGCATATATATTAAATAAGCAAGGCGACAATATACATCCTTGTCGTACTCCTTTTCCTATGCTAAACCAATCAGTTGTTCCATATCCGGTTCTAACTGTCGCTTCTTGGCCCTTATACAGGTTTCTCAAGAGACATGTGAGGTGGTCTGGTACTCCCATCTCTTTAAGGACCTGCCATAGTTTGTTGTGATCCACACAGTCAAAGGCTTTAGCATGGGCGGGACCTGGGCTTTGCCTTCTGATTGGTGGCGATATATACTGAGGAGCAGTGCCATCAGCCATACACTAAGGGAGTGCATTTTAGAATTAGAACTTTGGCACCCACTATTCAATTATATATAAGGAGAGATAAGCAAGGGGACAATATACATCCTTGTCGTACTCCTTTTCCTATGCTAAACCAATCAGTTGTTCCATATCCGGTTCTAACTGTCGCTTCTTGACCCTTATACAGGTTTCTCAAGAGACATGTGAGGTGGTCTGGTACTCCCATCTCTTTAAGGACCTGCCATAGTTTGTTGTGATCCACACAGTCAAAGGCTTTAGCATAGTCAATGAAGCAGAAGTAGATTTTTTTCTGGTACTCTCTTGCTTTCTCTATAAATCCAGCGAATGTTGGCAATTTGATCTCTAGTTCCTCTGCCTCTTCGAAACCCAGCTTGTACTTCTGGCAGTTCTCTATCCACGTACTGTTGAAGCCTAGCTTGTAGGACCTTGAGCTTGTAGGATCTTATTTACAACTCGGCTTTTACGCAAGAAGCAAGCCAGTCCCCTTAGCCTTTTCTTAATCAGGCACAAATCCTTCTGCTCTAGTACTCACCAGCAAAACTACAAAACAGGTTTACATCTAGATGTTCATCACTTACTACAGAAGCTGTTCTACAATATCGCAAGGATGGGGCTTTTCTAATCGTTATGATACAGGATCACATTATTCTGAGATTTTTCTGTTATCTATGTGATATGTAAGAACTGTTTGTATTTTTATGAAGCATAAAATCCAGTAGCCAAGAATCACAGTGATTGCTTGTTATTAGGTGACTTGGTAGAGGGCAGCTTCATGAATGTGTGTGCACGTATTTATATTATTTATTTAGGAGAATTTTATGCTGCCCTCTACAAAGTCCTGCTGGGCTGTAGCATAGAGCTTGGCTCATTGGTAGAGCATTTTGTTTGCATGCAGAAGGTCCCAGGCTCAGTCCACAGTGTCTCCAGCTAAAAGGATCAAGTAGTCTGTTATGGGAAAACCTCTACTGAGAATTACTGCCAGTGAAAGCAGACAAGACTGACCTTGTAGACCAATGGTCTGACTCAGCCCTGTTCACAAGTTATAGTGAACGGACATAAACCGATGTAAATGCATTGAGTCATTCTTCTTGAGGCCTGGTATTTTGAAAACAGGCTCTCTAATCAAGTCCAGCTAGGCCTCTCAGTTGCACTGGCCAGCTCTTTAATTTTTGTTTGTTTCTTTTCCCAGTTTCCATAACCAACAAGAGGACCCTCCCCACCACCATGCTGGCTCTGCTCTTGCAACAAACAGACTGCCATCTCCAGCTCCTCTTGACAGTGCTTCTTCGCAGGGAGTGGAGGAGAGTTCCACAAGAAACATCCTTGCCCATGGAAGTCCCAGCAAGAAGAGGGAGACTTCCTGTGTCCCCCACCCACCCTTCTGTCTTCTTGTACTCTTCTGTGTTGCTGCCTCTTCCTCTTTTCCCCTCAGTCCTCGACCTGTCAATGAGGTGCTTCGGTCTCCGCTACGGAGAAGCAAGTTGGGCTGGGGGGGTTGGGGGGGAACAGAGGCTTTTCTTTCTGCACAAAACCAGCAATTGTAAATACTTTTCAAAATGTAAAAAAAACCTTAAAAACCAATACAAAAAAAGCAAACAAAATGAAAACACACAAACATTTTCAAAATCAGAAATGGGAGGGGGGGAAGAGTCCAGAGAGAGAATCCAAGCAGGAGAGAAGCTAATTGTGTTGGGTATGCACTGAGAAATCTATTTGCAGATGGTTTTGACAAAAAAGTAACAAGAAACCTATTTATTGTATATAATGTTTTATTATAAATTGTGTATTGTATATTGCATCTGTACATCTGCTGTGGTTTTGTGATGTGCAAATTTCAGCATGGGTTTCATTGAGGTTTTAAGTTGCTTTTTTATTGTTTCAGGGGATTGGTTTTGTTTTTGCGGCAGTACACACCCAAAGATCCAAGTTTGTATCTTTAAAAAAACCTAGGAGAAATATTAAAGATAAGCAAAGAAACCCTCTTTTTTTGGAGAGGGAGGGAAGCCAAGGCATTTTCTGAGTTCTCATTGGACACTTGTAAACCGAAACTGAGTATTTCCTTCCTCCATGTGTGCCCCATTGCGCCGGTGCTGAGCTCAGGGTGTGTGTGCGTGTGTGTGTGTGTGTGTGGCTGACTTCTTTTCCACCTCTTTACATCCGCTTCCTCCCCAGAAAAACCCTTGTTTCCCATGGATTTGGAAACTTCTGTACAGATTTGTGGATTGTGCAAAAGAAAAAGAAAAAAAGGACACTTCTTTCCCACCTCCGCACACCCCAAAGTCCTGTGTTGTCAATTACTGATCTAAACTGTGCAAGTGTTTGCAACTAAATAGACCAGAGACAGAAACACACCTCTGATTTTACCATATAAGCTCCTTGCCTGCTTGAATCTTTCCCTGGGGCCAAGTTGCCTTCATCTGCCACCCCAAAGCCCCCCCCTCCCTTTTTGCTTCCCCCCCCTCCCCTGTACCCCAACTGGTCTTTTTGTGTATTTAGGAAGGAATTTTTAATAGACACTTTTTTATATTAAAAGAAACCTATATATTGAGCGATGCGGCTGGTTTCGTTTGCTTCTGTTGGCAGTGGAACGGATGCCTGGGGTACCTGGGGAGAGTCTGTTGCCAGCACTTGGGGATGCAGGAGGGAGAGGGGTGGGAATGAAGGCTTAGCTCACCTGCCTGAAATGTGTTCAGTTACACATTGGGGGGTGGGGGGGTGCAATCAAGGTCAGGTACAGAGACAATGCATTCATTTGTTGAAAGGGCTGCCACGTCGGATGTTTGGGCCTGAGTCAAAGGACACAGGGTGGGAGCACGGAAGGTTTTGCTCTTTGCGAGGCTGCAAGATCTGGGCTTCCAGCTTGCTGCCCTCTGGCTTCGGGCTGTCGCTAGGTAAAGAGCTCACTTATTTCCCCTCAGCTGAGAGCTCTCCACACTAGAAGAAGCTCCAGCCTACATTTCAAAGTGGGGGATCAAGTCTGTGCGCCACCCTCTGCTGCTGTGGCGGGGGTATCCTTAACTGCTGTGTCAGTGGAAATTGAACTTACACTGCAAATGGTAGTCCCGTGTCTCCCCCCCCCCCAGTGTTCGGTGTCGGCGTGCTAGCTGGAGATTTGGGGGCCATGCCTCGAGAGGACAGAGTTAGGGGTAGGGAGCAAGCTCAGCAGGGATGTGATGACATAGACTCCACCCCCGGAAGCAGCCATTTCCTCCAGGGAAATTGATCTCTGCAGGCTGGAGATTAGTTGCGATTCCGGGCCCCAACTGGAAGTCAGTAACCCTATTGCTAAGCTTTCTCCACTCAATGCATAATTTTGTATGCACAGGTGTACAGAATTGTGCATTGGGTGGAGAATGTGGCTAGGGGGAGTTTTTTTCTCCCTTAATACTAAAACTCAGGGACATCCAATGAAGTTGATGGGCGACAGGCAGGGGTCATTTCCTGCAGGAGCGCACAGGAGCGGAGCTCTGGCAGTAAAGAGCCCAGGGGGCGGGCACATGCAACAAGCCCCGCCCCCTGCTCCCAGCAGCCCTCAGTCAGAGCAAGAAGCAGCCAGGTAAGCTGCAGAGCACCCCCCCCCCGGTCCAAAACAGTCCAGTGGCACCTTTAAGACCAAATTTTATTCAGGTACAAGTTCTCCCTCTGTGAGGACAGATCTGCACGTGTCCGTCCCCCCCCCAATAACTAGCAATCCGAAACAGTCCAGTGGAGTGTGAGCAGTGGGTGTTGCCTTCTGACACACTTCCGGTGATGTCAGGGGGTGTGGCATATGCAAATGAGTTATGCAAAAGAGCTCCTGCACCTCTTTTTCTACAAAATGACCCCTGGCAGGTATAGGACAGATAAAAGGAAGCACTTCTTTAAAGGTAAAGGTTCCCTTGCTCGAAAGCCAGTCGAGTCCAACTCTAGGGTTGCGGTGCTCATCTCTGTTTCAAAGCCGAAGAGCCAGCGCTGTCCAAAGACGTTTCTATGGTCATGTGGCCGACATGACTAAACACCACGGCGCACGGAACGCTGTTACCTTCCCACCGAAGTGGTACCTATTTATCTACTTGCAATTTCTTGCTTTCGAACTGCTAGGTTGGCAGGAGCTGGAACTAGAGATGGGAACTCACTCCGTCATGCGGCACCTGGGTCTCGAACTGCTGAACTACTGACCTTCCACAGCCTGCAGTTCAGCATCTTAACCACTTGAGCCACCGCAGCTCCAGCACTTCTTTACTCAACAAGTAATTAAACTTTGAATTCAGTACTGGTGGAAGTAGTGATGGCCACAAGCACAGGTGGCAGGACCATAGCTACAGTGGGGCCCCCGACTTCCTCGCAAGGCCCCACGACTTTGTATCCACCCCAGCCCCCCCCCCCAACTCTCTGAGCTGCCCAGAGGACTCCCCGCTGGAGCTGGCGGCAGCACGGGACTCCTCGGTGAGGCTAACAATGCACTTGGAGGTAATGGGCTGGCGAGGTGGGGCTGGTGGGAACTTTTGCTCAAGAAGAAGCAGGGGGTGGCACGACCTGCAGGAGGCTGGCACTGAGAAGCCAAGGGCAGAGTGGGGCATCCTCACTGCACACACCCTTTGGCCGCCGCTGGGGAAGGCGCTCCCTGCCCGCACTTGTCCTGGCCAGGAGGCAGGAGGAGAGAGGCCGCTGCACCCAGCGCTTTCCCTCCTTCTGAATCTTTGAGTGGTGGGTGGGGGAGAGAGATGGTTTCTCTGCAGGGCTCTGTCGGCCGGGGCGCTTCTGAACGGAGTGGGGCGTCGGCAGCTGGAGACGCGAAGAAGGCGCTGCTTGGGCCAAAAGGTGCCGTCCGGCCCTTGCAGAGGCCCGGGAGGCCATCTCGGTCCCCACCCAAGTCCCAAAGAGGGGATTACCCCGGCTCGAATCCCGGGTCTTTTCCAAGCAGGGTGGAATCCATGTTGCAGGATGCTGGTGCCCTTGAACATCCTTGCGCATGCTCCCCTGCTTCACGGGGCTGCCCCTCCGGCTGCTCCTCACAGAAGGACGTGCAGAGGATGGTAGCCTTGGGTCCCTAGCAAGCCCCACTCCCTCCGCGCTGCCCCCTTCCCTGTATGGGGTCCAGAGCCAAGGGAGAGCCTAGTGGGCTGCCACTGGGGATGGCAAAGCCGGAGGGCACCATGGTGGTTAATGGGAAGACCAGCTGGGGCAAGGGCCAGCCAGTGTGTGTGAATTTTTAAACTTAATTTTTGTTTCAGTGCCCCCCAACTTTTTACAAGCCCGCCCCCCCCCGATTTAAGAAATCCTGGCTACGAACCGGCAAAGGCAAAGGTTCCCTTGCTCGAAAGCCAGTCGAATCTGACTCTAGGGTTGCGGTGCTCATCTCCGTTTGAAAGCCGAAGAGCCAGCGGACCTGTAGGTGGCTTTAAAAGAGCATTAGATAGATTCATGGAGTTGAGGCCTGACACTGGCTACTAACCATGGTGACTTAAGGAAACCTCCATGTTCAGTGACAGTAAACCCCTTAACACCAGTGCCTGGCCTTGGCATCTAAGCCCTATTTGTTGGCCTTCCAGGGCAGCTGGTTGGCCACTCTGTGAAACAGAATACTGGAGTAGAAGGACTACTCTGAACCAGGAGGACTCTTCTGAGAATTGCTACTGCTGCTGCTATGCAGATTTTTAGCACAATCTGCTCTCACCAGTGCTTGCCACATATGTCACTGACAGACAGGCAGGACACCACGTGAAGCTACCCGACAGGTGCGTGTTGCAGGAGAACTATATCCATTGTTCCCTTGGAAAAGGTGAAAACAGGCTGAACATGTTAGTCTTGAATCTTCAGCCTTCTTTATATGCATGCATATCAAAATGTTGGATACCATTTCAGCTCTCCAGCTTGCTTGGCTCCCATCGCACTAAGCTGCTGGTCTGCATTGTTTGTTAAAACAATATTTTAAGAGCCATATTAAGGTTAGACTAATAAATGCTGATCCTTCATCTTGCCCCAAAAAGTTTGGAGGATGTGTGTGTGTGGGAAACAGTAGCAAAAATTTCTCTCATAGGAGGCTTGTTGGAATTGTTATCAGCTACTCAACAGAAGGAGCTGCGGTGGCTCAAGTGGTTAAGACGCTGAACTGCAGGCTGTGGAAGGTTGGTAGTTCAGCAGTTCGAGACCTGGGTACCACATGATGGAGTGAGCTCCCATCTCTAGTTCCAGCTCCTGCCAACCTAGCAGTTCGAAAGCAAGAAATTGCAAGTAGATAAATAGGTACCTTTTTACTCAACAGAAGAACCCCTGTGAGTTCAGACCAACTTGGCAGTGCAGTTCTAAGCACAGCTAGACCTTTCTAGTCCCAATGGACTCTGACGGGTGTAACTGAGTAGCGATCACACTGTAACTCTAGGAGCCTGTTTCCCAAAGTAACCAACCAAGTGCCCCTGTAAGGCCTACAAGCAAGAGAAGCACAAGCTAAAGCCTCTCCCTCTTTCTTTCCACAAGTGGTATTCAGATGTATTCTGCCTGTGAGCACAGAAGTTCCATTTCACCATTCAGGACTAAATGGACCTCTATAG